AATCTTTACAGGTTCCCAAAAGTGCTTGAGGTGGAGGACTTAACAAGAAGCTAGACATCCTGTATGAGCAAGTGTGTATTGGGGCCAGAGAAATTCAGATTTTGTGATTGTTCATGCCCTTATCGTAACTCTTTCATTATTTGATCCATGTGCTATGTAGCTCTCAAGAGTATGAGCCCTAGTCCTGACAGAATGTGGTGGAGACTGCTAGAAATATCTTTCTCATCTCTAAGCCCTCTACAGCATCTAGCACCAGGCTTACTTCTCCCCCACCCACATTCTTCGGCTTCATTGACTCTAATTTTCATGTCACAAATTCACCTACTTTAAGTGTACAATTTAAGTTCTAATAACTTTATACAACCAGGCAACTACATCACATAGTTTCAGAACACCTCCACTATCCCAAAATTTTCCCTATGCTCCTTAGCAATTATCCTTGCCCCAAACTTCAGACTCAGTCAACCGGTGATGTGCTATCCATTATTTATGGTTTCATCTTTGCTAGAAATTTTATATTAAGGAATCATTAATGGTATTTCATCGCATATGTTTAAAATTCATCCAGTAATAGTTTTTCATTTTTATTTTATGTAGTATTCCATTATTGAATAACCATTTTGTTTACTCGTTTTCTAACTTATGGGCATTTGAGTATTTATGATTTGTTTTTATGAAAAATGCTTCCATATTCATTTGATTTATAGTCTGTGTGTGGACATATGCTTTCATTTATTTTGGGTAGATACCTAGGAGTAGAATTGTGGGCCCGTATGGTAAATGTGTGGTCTTCATTGATTTGAAACAATTTAACAGGGATTAATGAGTAGGAGGCTGAAAGCAAGCCATGCCATGTGTGAATGGGACACATGATCAGGGGTATAGGTGAGAATTCTCAGCAAAGAAAGAATATTACTGAGAAGTAGAAATGCATTGAGATAAATTCATCTTCTTTATAATTCATACTTCAATATCCAGGAAGCCTAAACATTTTATCTAATCCAAAATTGTCTCAATCTATTATGATCGTAGAGCTTCACATTGGTCACAGCATGTGAGATCAGGCATGTGTGAGTGGACATAAATAGTGACAAAGTTGTCTATAAAGGTGTTTAAATCTGGGAACAGCCTACATGGTTATCCACTTTTAGGGAGACATTAAGTTTATTGTTTATTTTTATTTTTGGCTGTTTGGGATTTGAACTCAGGACCTTGTACTTGCTAGACAAGGGCTGTACCACTTGAGCCACACCTCCAGCAAAATCAGCCTTCCAACTTTTTTTGGTTTTATGGTATTTGAACTCAGGGCCTTACACTTGCTAGGCAGATGCTCCACCACTTGAGCCATGCACCCAGCCCTGCCATTAGGTTTCGTCATGCCAAGAATTTGCCTTTAACAAAAACTTCCGTTTGCTAAAGGTTCAATTGAAGATGTTACTTTTATTAGAGTCTATCCTTGTAATTTGTATTTATTTTACTTGTTCTCTGTGGAGGCCATTCTGAATAATGATCACCTCTTGATATTTGAAACTGTACCAACAAGCTTTGGGGCAAGAAGAGGAGAGAATTTGGTAACAACAGGAATCATTGTTACAGAGATCCAAATATACCTAGGAGTCAAGGTGTATCCTCTTACAATTGATAAAACCCTGTGAATTTATGACAAAGAAATCAATCCTGTTTCTTAGCCCAAGAGTATAAAAGAAGGGACCCCTGTAATTAGTGATTGAGAGTTTGGGTTACTTTTCAATCCCCGAATATACAGAGTGTGCTTGAGTCAGAAGCGAAAAGTTTATCCCATTTATCTTCTTCCATTGGGAAGATCAACCCAGGGCCATTTGGGCAGAGGTACCCAAAAATTCAGTAAATCTAGCTCACCAGAAGTAGAGATTTATAGGGAGGAGTTGCAGGTCCAGGAAGATTTTTGACATGTGTATTACATAACGTAGTACATTTTTCTTTAATGAAGACCCACAGAAATACCTCCTAGGCCTTAATAACAGGAAAAACCCATGATTCTCCTGAACAAATTGGATTACTTTGATCATAAATAAATGATTCTGAGTGCATTTCCCTGGCCACCAGCAGTGACATCACCTGGGAACTTGTGGAAGACGCATGCTCAGAACACATGCCAAACCTTCCAAATTGGAACCTCTGGAGGTGAGACTCAGCAATCTCTGTTTTGATAAGCCTGACTGGTAATTCTGGTGGAAGCCAAAATTTGAGAACCACTGTACTTATTAACTAATGGCTGAGAATCTCAGAGTCAAGTTTTTCGCTTCTCTCCATCAACTTAGAGGCAGAGAAGGGTTCTTCAGCACTCTTAGTTCCCAAACACCTTGGACATTTAAAAAATATTTTACAGTAACTGAATTGGGCTGAACCAGGGAATCCGATTTCAGAAAATTAGTGATTGATGTGTTCAATGTCCAATACTTCCTTTGAGTTAAAAGCTTCATTAGGATTATATTTCAACTGCTTAGTCTATAACCAAGTAGTTGGTTTTGAAAATCTTGGATGACAATATTGACCAATTATGCACTAAACACAAAAGGTGATTTCATCATTTTGTATAGGCCAATGCCCTGAAGCGCCTGTTAAAAATGATTAACTAGATGAAGAGCAGATATAAAAACAGATGAATATCATGAATTGCTGGTTAGCTTGGAAATCTCTTATTCTTGGGTTAACAGAATATGCAGAAAACCTAAGTCTACGATGCCAAATGAGAAAATATGGCTTGCTGGCAGGAACTGAGTGTTTTTCAGCTCCTGTCAATGATTTTTACCTTTTTGCAAGCCAGAAAGAATCAGTTTCATCTCAGTTCTGCTACCAAGTACTTTCAAGACCTTGGATGAGCTACTTCCCCCCTTGGACCTCATTTCTGTCTCTGCAAATGAAAGCATTTGATTTCATCATCTCTAAGGTCACTTCCATCTCTGATATTCTGGGAATCTGGAATTCTAAGATCCCATCTCTCCAGCACCATTCCAATACTGCTACTGTCTCCTGACTTCTCTTGACCAGAAGACAGAGTAAGAAGGCAGAGGACGCTGATGGCTGCACCTGCTGAAAGCATGACTGAGATCTTGGGAATTCAGATAATTTCAGAAATTTCATGCTTCTTACAGAGCAGTGCTGTGTAGAGGTCAGATAGTGGTATGGGAGATACCACTATCTTTGCCAAATGATACATGGAAATCCTGGAGTGACCTCATCATTAGGTGAGAAAGAGATGTGAACTGAAGAGCCCCTTTTATTTTTTGTAGGGATGATTTTTGGTTTTGGTGGTAATATACTGGAGATTGAAATCACAGCCTCGCACTTGTGCTACTCTGTCAGCCATTTTGGGGTTAGTTATTTTTGAGATAGGGTCTAGCTTTATGCCTGGGCCAGCCTAGACAAGATCCTCCTATTTGTGCTTCTTCATGTAGCTGAGATGATAGGCACGCCCATCACAAACAGCCATTGGTTCAGATTGGGTCTCATGAACTTTCTGTCCAGGTTGGCAGTGAACCGTGATCTTCTCAATCTCTGTCTCCTGAGTAGCTAGGATTACAGGTGTGAGCCATCTCACCCAGCAATAGAAATGATTTTAAAGAGTCAGTCCATTGTATGAAATGACTCAAGTGCATATACTTAAAAGCTTCAGGATTGGGGTTTATGAAAACACTCCCCCTCCCCATTCCTATCCAAAGCATGTATTTAGCTGAGTAACTCCAAGCAGTGGAGATAATTTCATAAAGAGTAGAGGATGGGTGTGGTGTGGAGGGCTCAAATGAACCAGGCATTTGATGCAATTCTTCCACTTCAAGTTCTCTGTAGAATTTATTGCACCTGTTCTGTTGGCCTAACGAGCAGCCTTCATTTGCTTCCGCTGGTCATCAGCTAGCCAAATATGTTACTGTTTCTATTTTACTTCCCAGACTGATTTCTAATATGGTTATGCGTATAAAGACCTTCCATGCAAAGTTTTTCCTAGCTGAGAGAGGATCCATTGAATCTGATAAATTTCAGAGAATACTTCTTAGGTGCCTTCAAACTGCTGGTCTCCCATTCTCACCCCCCATTTTTTATTTTTAAAATGAGCTTTGTTTGCTAGCACTAAGGTGATAGCTTTAACTTTTTACTTCCTTCAGTTGATGTAAACACAATGGCCAGGCCCCTCATCTCTGGAGTAATCTCCTCTGGAAATAATGATTTTCATTTTTACAGGTCCTTTTGTGTCAGGAACTCAACTGGCATTGTTATGGTTTATTTTGTTTTGGGATAAGGAAGTTTCATTTTAACCGTTTCTAGAGAGAAAATCCCTAAAGAGCTTCCACCCCCCGCCCCAAATATGCAATATTAAAATAGTCAAATGGGAAAATTGTTTTTATTAGAGCATTTAAAGACAAAAGAGCTGGCAGTTTGTCTAGATTTTTCATTTCTTAAAGGTTACTTTGATATGGCACAGTGTAGCCCCAGGAATATGCAAAATTGGTAATTACCATGTGTCGGAGCTAGTATGAAGCCCAGGTCACCTGAATTATTGCTTCTTGGAGGTGGCATAAGCCCTGTCAAGGTATGAATGATTTGTTACTTCAGCACTGCCATGATATTAAATCTTGAGGAGTGGGTTCAAGTCAGTGCTTTCAGGGGACAACTACTCTTATTTGTCATGTAAAAGGAAGTGCATTAGACTACCCAGTGACTGTAGAGGGGTAAATGAGGTATTTTTAGGAGAAAATCACCAAAATCTCTACAGACCATGGTGGGTAGACACGAAGACAGGGTGATGCTAATAAACACTAAGATCACTTAATGAGTCTAATTATTCAAGGAGTCCTCATTAGGGGAGAACAAGCAACTGCAGAGCATTTCCCCAGCCCCCTCCCTCCTCTTATGTCATAGGAAAACCAGTAAGACTCCTCCATCCTCCACCTCCCACTCTCGAGTGCCAGATCGGTAAGCGCTTAGCCAAGCATGCTGGGAGACACAGAACAACCGTAGGAAAGGAGTATCCTGATGTCTTGGATTTTCTTTCCATTCTGTTGTGCTCTGTTCTCCTAACACCACCTCATTACTAGACGTAGGCACTAGACGTGACAATCAACTACATTTGAACTGAGCAGGAGAAATATTGAAGGCACAGTCTCCAGGAGAAATGTCTCTAAGGCAGCCTCAGTCACCTAATCAGACTTTAATTTCAATCACAAATGACACAGAATCATCAAGCTCTGTGGTTTCCAACGAAACCACAAATAAAGGACAGACCGGGGACAACTCTCCAGGAATAGAAGCACTGTGTGCCATCTATATCACTTATGCTGTGATCATTTCGGTGGGCATCCTTGGAAATGCTATTCTCATCAAAGTCTTTTTCAAGACCAAATCCATGCAAACAGTTCCAAATATTTTCATCACCAGTCTGGCTTTCGGGGACCTTTTACTTCTGCTGACATGTGTGCCGGTGGATGCGACCCACTACCTCGCAGAAGGATGGCTGTTCGGAAGAATTGGTTGTAAGGTGCTCTCTTTCATCCGGCTCACTTCTGTTGGTGTGTCAGTGTTCACATTAACAATTCTCAGCGCTGACAGGTGAGTTTCTTTTCTCTGTTATATTTGCCGGGAGGTGAAATTAGGCAAAAAGAAAAGAAAAGCTTGTACTTAGCTTTTACCGGCTACCGTTTCTGCTTTTCTCATGCTTGGTAACCTAGATCTAGGATTGGAAAATCCGGTGGCATTTTAAATAAAAAGTTGGTGTAAAAATATTAAAATTCCTGTGCTAGCAACTGGGAAGTACTTGAAAATGTATGCTGTTGGGGGGGATTTCTTTTCTTTGAAATGTAATTATTTGCTTGAAGGAATACCGAACAGTGTTTTTATTTTCCTCCTGCTTATTAAGTAAGGCAAATTGCTGCAGGTGTAAAAAAAAAAAAAAAACCCATGCTTTATACATTAGTGCAGCCTAGTGGCACAATATAGTCAACATAAAATATCGGCATAGGTGTGAAATTGACCACCCATGCATTACTGTATATCGGAAGGATGGTAAAGAGATAGCATGCACCTAATTTATTTGAAATTTATCAAATTAGCTAATGACTGAAAAACAGTAAGGTTTTCAGCTCCCTGGCAACTCAGTGTAATGTCATCAGTTTGTTAATTCTATTTGTTTTCTCTATAGGAATTCAGTGACATTATGGTTTCCAGAAAAATAAATTAACCCTGATTGACTTTTAGAGCTGTATGGATAGAGTACGAAAACCTCTCGCCGTCAGGGTGTTTGGACTGTGTTAGGATGTTTTCAGTCTAAGTACTGTGTTTTTCTGTGTTCCTATTGTAGAAGGATAACTGTGAAAACATGAAAAAATTGAGGTTCCAAATGTTAAAAGTGATGTTTTAAAAAGCCTGCAGGAAGTCTGTAAGTAATCAATGACTGGCAGTGCCAAAAGGAATAGCTTCTTCTACAGATTTTGGAATCTGACAAGGGGGAAAAGCTTTCCTTGTGTCTTTTTCTGATTTTTCTTTGAATGGTCATATATTCTACCTGAGTGCAGACTTCTGTAAAGGTTATAGACTTTAAGGTGGATTTGTCTGACTGAGGAGGCATCTTTGCACTGGCACAAGGCTTCCAATTTCACCCTTGGCTTGCCTTAAATCTCCCCACTGATTGATCAGCTTGGGCAACAAAGTAGTGCTTCTGAATGGGGAAGAAATTAACCCTCTCATCTTTATCGCTGTAAATCCCTGGAATTCTTTTCTAGGAAGGTCAAAGACTGCTCACTCATGAGAAGAGGAGAATTAATTTGGTTTAACGTGAGTCACTTATACAAAAAGTACTCTTTTAGAATACTTAAGGTAATACATAGGAAGTGAATTACTCTTGGTTGCACATAAAAAGAGAGGGTCTGTATATAATTATAAAATGACAAATCTGGAATATCTCACAGGAGTGAATAAAGGAAAACTGATTAGCCTAAATGAAAATCCTGGGGTGTCTTATATGTCTTTGAAGCCATAACCAATTCTACTTGGTTAATATTGACTTGGTTATATAGAAATAGATAAGGGGTAGAACTGGATGACTACTACGATAACTCCAATCCTAAAATTGCGAAATGTGCCTGTGAATTTTGACCTTTGCCTCTGATTATGTGTTTCTAGATATAAAGCCGTTGTGAAGCCGCTTGAGCGACAGCCCCCCAATGCCATCCTGAAGACTTGTGCAAAAGCTGGCTGCATCTGGATCGTGTCTATGATATTTGCTCTGCCAGAGGCTATATTCTCAAATGTATATACTTTTCGAGATCCTAACAAGAATATGACATTTGAATCGTGTGCCTCCTATCCTGTCTCTGAGAGGCTTCTGCAAGAAATCCATTCTCTGTTGTGTTTCTTAGTGTTCTACATTATCCCACTCTCGATTATCTCTGTCTATTATTCTTTGATTGCTAGGACTCTGTACAAAAGCACTTTGAACATACCTACTGAGGAGCAAAGCCATGCCCGAAAGCAGGTATGTATTAACCACTACTCATGCAAATATAGTTTGGATTTAGAGGTGAAATCCATACTTTTGCAGAGTGAGCAACTGTATAATTACCTGTGTATAAATACAATAGCAGTGTGTATTTTTGTTATGTGCACAGGCTCTGGTTTTAATCCCAACTCTATCAGACATGAACTGAGCAATCAATTTAACCTCTGTGAGCCTGTAAAATTAAGATGAGGATTAGATGACATAGATGAAATGCTCATCGTAGTTCCTTGTGTTACTCTGCATTCAATAAACAGTGAGACTATTATTGTTAGAGAGGGGACAGCTGAAGTTTGGGAGCAAAGTGATTTACCCTATGGAATAGTGAGAAACATCACATAAGGGAGAATGTAAAGCAGAGCATCTTTTATTTAAGAGAGCGTAACAGAATAATAGAAATGCACAGAATTGTAGAACTGGCAAGACCATCACCTTATTCAATGCAAACCATATACACACAGATGTGAACTGAGGTCTGGGAGGGGAAAATGAAGTGCCACAGGCAACACAATGACTCACAGACACTTGATTAAGACCATTGCAAGAGCCAGGTGTGGTCTCTTCTCATAAATACCGAGAGAATAAAAGATATGTTGCAAAAACATAGTTCCATTTGATTAGGAATAAAAGCATTTCTATTCTGGGGAGGGGGTGATTAAATTTATCTCCTAATCAGTACACACATAGGGAGGAGGGAAAGAGGGATGGGAATAGGAAGAGGGAGAGTTTTTTTTTTTGGAGCTAGTCCATTGGGTTAGTTTCACAACAGTACTCATGAGGCTGGAGCTGCATGTTCAGTGCCCATGTACTAGTTAGTTATCTTTGCTCTGTCCGTGACCACAGGTTATATTTTCACTTAATCTGGTTCGTCTCTCTTATTAGTAGATGTATGTAGGAGTATTTGCAAATATGAAGGATGGCACATTTGTTTTTTATTCCTCTGACTGTATCTTTAGAGTTTTTATAGATTGAAAACAAGTTTTGATACAAACTTGACAGCTTTGGTGAGCTCCAGATTATTTTAACCTATTGATCCAGTGAAGGCAGTTTTGGATAGTGTCTTTATTTTTAATTAAATTAAATCGCAGGGAATGCCACAGCACTCCTTGAACTAACTGGAGACATTCTAGAGTATTTTAAAATCAGGGGGATGGTGGGAAGTCTCTGAATTAGAGTTAATAAGACTTAGGATCACTGGTTACCATGCCAATTAACTCGCTCTATGCTGTAGCCACAGGTTGATTTCCTGCATGTCTCAGCTCACAAGCACATGCTCCAAGAAGACCAGCTTGTTAACTGTAAATTTCTACATAAATCTACAGGATGGCTTTTATTTCTGCTAGCTAAATGATTTTTTTGTGTGTGTGCCATTTTTCTCTCCCTGTAGATCGAATCCCGGAAGAGAATTGCCAAAACTGTATTGGTGCTGGTGGCTCTGTTTGCTCTCTGCTGGTTGCCAAATCACCTCCTGTATCTCTACCACTCATTCACTTACCAAAGCTATACAGACCCCTCTGCCATTCATTTTATTGTTACCATTTTCTCTCGGGTGCTGGCTTTCAGTAATTCTTGTGTAAACCCCTTTGCTCTCTACTGGCTGAGCAAAACCTTCCAGAAGCATTTTAAAGCTCAGCTCTTCTGCTGCAAGGCAGGGCTGCCTGAGCCTCCTCTTGCTGATACCCCTCTTAACAACCTGGCTGTGATGGGAAGGGTCCCGGGCACTGCTAGCACACAGATGTCTGAAATTAGTGTGACCTTGTTCACTGGGTGTAATGTGAAGAAGGAAGAGGACAGAGTCTAGATTTCCATTTAAAATGGTGTTTTACCTCCCAGTGTGTGCACCCATCTCTACACTGTTCATAGGTGTATGGTGTCTGGGTTTTTGTTGTTTGTGAATTGTGTTGAAATTTCCAGAATGCAAGAGCTCTATAAGTAAAAGACAAACCATGATTTTCTTTGAAGTGCAGACACAAATGTCATTGGGCTTTCTAAATAAAATGAAGCCCACTAAGTAGATACAGGCAGGTTTGGATACTGCCAATGAAAGGGGAGGGTGAATAGGAGGGAAGGTGAAATAACCAAGATGAAGCTTAAAAACTCAATTTGTTTCCATCCTATCTCTGATACTTCTAATTTCTCATATGCTCATGTGATTGTTATAAAATTGTGTTTGTGTTTATTATGTGATATAAATCTAGGGATTCTACTTTGTATATGAAAAGGGGTTCAAAAAGAGGTAAGACATCTCCTCAGCAGTTTCCTTAAAAAAAACTTTCATGGTGACTGCCCTTTTCCATTAATTGTTATTACATTGCAACTAAATCTCAGCAATTGAGGTAACAATGTTTTAGCATCAGCAGGTTTAAGGTACCGAGTTAAAAATCTGAGGCAAGGTACTTCCCTTACTGGGTCAACACTTTCTGACTTCATGACAGGAACTGCTATTGATTAGTAACTGGGCAAAGTTATCTATCCCAAGTATTAAGAACTTGCCTTATTCCCCGGCAGAATAAGTGGCCATGTGTGTGTGCCATGTCATTAAGGACCCCAGAGTCTGCAACCCTGCCAGCTTCTGAAATTCTTTAAGGAAATTCATTTCTTCTGGGTAAGCAGTGCCCTCTTTCTAAAACCTGCAGAAGTACCACACGAAATCCCTAACACCTAGGTGTGCAGTAATCATCAGATCATCTTCCTGCTTGACTTCATTCAACTGGATGGGTGCCTAAGTCCTGTAAGAGTATGACCTAATTCATCTCTGTCCCTGCAAGTCAGAGGGAAGGCTCTGATTTTCTGTCCTCTGCTCCTACGTGCTAATAAAATAAGCTTGTTAATAAATGTCATTTAAGTAACTGTTGTCAATAGATTTGTTAGATTTAAATTTGTGGTTTCAGAAAATGTATTCCTGGAGCAAATTAAAGCTTATATTTGGCATATAGTTAAAATTGTATTTTTAAAAACTTGATTTTCAAGTGTGCTTTTTGGTATATTTAAGCTTTCTTTAAATGGCTTGTGTAGTTGTGAACTTCTAATGGCGTGGCTCAAAAAGGGGCTCTATATTAACACTAGCCTTTAAATCTCTGTAAAATTGGTTTACTTAAAATGTGGGTGCTGATACTGTACTAATATTGTTTTAAGGTAGACATTGTAAAAGGTGGGGAAACAAATAAATATGAAATAAAGTTTCAGTGGCTTTGAGTAACTTTATATCCTAAAATACTATTTCTGATAAAATATAACTAAGAACAATTTTAATTCCAAGATGTCATTTTTATATCACAAAACTCCAAATTATTTTTCCTACCTTCCTGAGTTACTTTCTCTAAGCATAACATTTTAGAAATAAATTGATGAAAGTTCCAGCTTACAAAATCCAACAGCCTTTTAACAGTTCAGAAAACTAAGAGCACAAAGAACTTGTTTTTGTTCTTACTAACCCCTACATGAGTTAAAGATCTGATATGAAATAATTCCCTGAATGGTTTTATAAGGCATCCAAAGCTAGATAATTGGGGTTAAAATTTGTGGCTCTTTTAAGTTTTTGGAGTGAGTGGTCTTTCTTTTAACAGATTATCCTTGTCAGGGCTAACGGAACAAGTAAGCCACAATATCCAGAATTTCTTTCACTCAGATTATTGTGGTATCAGAAATGTTCTATGGAAGAATTCATTTATTTGGAGAGTCCTAGATAAGAGGAAGTGGTGGACATAAGCAAAACAAATATTGTTTATGTTGCAATTTTGTTCAGGGTCTTTCCTTGCCCAAGATTTAGGATATGGACTATAATAATATCTATGAAGCAAAAAAATACAGTCACAAAGTTAGATAAACAAAAGACATGTCTAGTGGGCAAGTCTTCCTCATTGAAGTTGGAAGTAATAGTTTAACATTGGCATACCTATTACAAATAACAGACTAGGTTTTAAAGAATTTCTGCAATTTAAACCATCTTAGGTCAGCAATCCATCGATCTTTTTTGTCAGGAGTTCCTTTTATTTCCACTAAGTCTTCAAATTACACGATAAGGGGACAAAAACATTCCTAAACAGAGAGGGCTTGAAGAGGCCATTAAAAAACCTAGTTTGCTATAGTTCCTAGGCAAAGTAGGTAACTTCTTCCAGCAACCAGTCTCTGGTTTTGTAGGTTAATGTATTTTTATCCATCAAGAAGGCCATGGCCAGGAGTAAAACACAGATTACCCCTTACAGAAGTCAGCGAGAGAATGATGCTGCTTTTCAAGGAAGGCAGCTGTTTGGATTCCATCTTCTTCCTTTTCACAGGTCCACCAGTCTCTCACATGGTCCATCTCCATAGTGGTCATGGAGTTTCAGGAGCAACCCCCTATCTTATAGCCTCTGGTTTTGCTCGTTACTTTGAGTGTTTCTGTGACTTGTAAAAAATCTTGAAAAGGAGAGGTTACACAGACAGAGATGCTTCCCAAGTACCTCAGTCACTAGGAATTTATTCTACAAAAATATAGGGAAGTAAGCCTAAGAAAGAACCGAAACCTGTAGACCAGAGCATTGTTAAAAAAACAAAAACTGTTACATGTCATGGCCAAAGAGAATGGCACTGCAGGTACAAGTATACTTAGCTTCCAATTCCACTGCTCCATGACCCTCTGGAGTCTGCTGCTTTAGCTGCTTCTTTCATCCCTAGGGAACTTCTCCATAACAGGCTCCTGGCCTGCCTTTTACCTTCCTTAGGTAGGTCTTCTTGCTTTGCTTCTACTCTATTCTACACACCTTATTCTGTTTCATACCCAAACTTCCTGGAAGAGGCTTTTATTGGCCCACTTAGTAAAATCAAATGTAGAATGCAATGCTACCTCTCACACAGGCCTCCAGACAGCCTTTGGGCCAGAGTAACAGGATGACACTGGATCTAGACATAAACTTTTTGGTCATTTGCTTGGAAGGGGGTTTGTGGGTACAACAGGCATTTAAGAGTATCATGTGCAATAAAGTGGCATAGCACATTGTCTCCTATGCTGTGAACTCACTCAGGAATGAAAAAGGGAGCACAACAGTATATTGTTGAAAAGAGCCATATACTATTTTTGGATCTAGGAAGAAATATTTAGCAATGTTTAAATGAGCCTAATAAAACTCATAAAATGCATGCAAATGCAGTTCTCCAATAGCTCCTATGAGAACAAGAACTTCATGAAAAAGAAACATAATTTAAAACAAGAACAAACTACTATTAAAAAGACATTGTTATGGTTAAAATCAGATTCGTATACCCTAGGAATGTGGAGAGCCAGGATTTTCTACAACCACATTCATCTGCTATGTTTACAAGCAAAGGCCCTACAATAGTAGAAATGATTTCTTCTGGCAAGCTTTTCCCTACTCTCAAGTCTGGATTATGATACTGATGTTTACACATAATGGGTTCATTGTTGTTTTTAATGAATAAGAAATAAATGGCAGCTTTAATATTACAGCAAGTACTGATAAATATCCACATACGAAAAAGCTCTCTGGGGGTCTTCAACAGCATTTTTTTTTTTTAGCATAAAAGGGTGCCGAGAGCAAAAAGTTTTGAGAGTCACTGCTCTTGAGCATCCCGTATTTCTCCCATCATATTACTTACCAATCACCTGTCTCCGTGAGATGTGCTTCTCTTCTTGACCGCTGTCACCAGAACCTCCAACAGTACCCAGCAAATTAGTAGGAACGCAATATCTAATTAAAAAATATAGACCTCTGCACTTTTGGCAACTTGTGCAATTTCTACAGGAAAAGAACAGTTCTATGCACACCCACGTTTATTGCAGCACTTTTTACACTAGTCAAGCTTTGGAAGCAGTCCAGATGTCCCACACCGATGACTAGATTAAACTGGAGTTTTATTCAGCCATAAAGAAGAATGGAATTTTGTTGTTTGTAGGTAAATGGATGGAACTGGAGAACTTCATGTTAAGTGAAGGTAAGTCAGGCTCAAAAAATCAAGAATGCATGTTTTCCCGTGTATGTGGAAGCTAGATCTATAAGTTAATGCAAATACAGAAACATATATAACCTTATATATATATATATATACACACACACACACACACACACGCACACACATACATATATACATATATAGTGAGAGAGAACAAAACTGTATTAGTGAGTCCATTTGAGGGGGCTATGGGAGGGAGGAGAGATAAAGAAAATGTTAGAGAATGAAAAATATTGAAACAACCATCTATATATGAATATAATGCACTGTACAGTAACCTGTTGAATGTTAGGGGAGCATGGTGATAGAGAGTTAGTAACGGGGAGGGGGTTAATTTGCTTAAAGCACGATACATACAGGCCTGAAGTACCAAGGAAACCCCCTTTGACTATCAATATACACTTAATTTTAAAAATGAAGGGCAGGAGGGGAAAATAAGCCTTTTCCGGGGAATGGTATCAGTGGGAGGGGGTGGGCACAAGAAAGTGGAAATGAGGGTATATATGGTAGATGCATTTTGTATCCATATATGAAAACAGAATAATGAAACATGTTGAAATTGTTTTTAGAAGGCGGGAAGAGGGACAACAATGGAGGGAGTAAACCCAACTAAGATATCTTGTAAGCATATATGTAAATATCACAATGTATTCCCCTGTACAACTATAATATGCTAACAAAATCAGAAAAAGAGGTGTTGCTAATAACCTTACAAAAATTAAAAGAACTATAAAAGAACGTTAACAACTGTATTCCAGCAAATTAGATAAACTAAATGAAATGAAAAAAAGTACAAAAAGTACTCAAACTGCAAGAGGGATACAATGTAATTTGTAAAACATTGTTGAATGAAATTAAAGAAAACCCAAATAAATGGGAAAAAAGGTTCTACTTAGTGCAGCAGCATGCTGAAGAAGTGGACTCAAGTGGACAGTTGAAACTGGTGTTCATACCCTGGGATGTTTACACTCAAACCTCAACTGTGAGATGTGAGCACCTCCATGTCCTGCAGTACAAGGGCAGGCTCCTCCCTCCTCCCCACAAAACTGCCAGAGGGATAAAGGAAGACGGGGTGAGAATAAGAAAAAGTTGGCCCTTTTACCCATCATTCGTTCACTCATTCATTCACTCCACACTAGACATCAGACCGCGTGCCAGGTGGGTAGATAGACTACCACGATGCACTAGAGCAGGGACTAGCCTAGGGCAGTCATCTGCAAATAAGTAAAAGACACGGTTCCAGCGCAAGGGAGGAGTCTTTGGACGAAGGAGGCGCGTCGTTTACCCCATGGGAGAAAAACTCGTTCTGCTCACCCCACCCACTTCCCCAAGATGGCGGCCGCCGCGATGCGCGCCCAGCGCCTGCTGCATGGGAATATTCCCACGCCGTCATTCGGGCTACCGCCGGGGCCAAACCAGACTCGACCTGCCAGGGACCCCGCTGAGAACGAGGTCTCTAGGATGCTATGGTCCCCGCGGGTCGTGTCCCTCTGTAGGCGTACTCCGGTGGGTGTCCACAACGGCAGCAGCGCGCCCCCTGGCGCTCCGCCCCAGAGTCCTGAGCCGCACGCCTGCGTCGACGCCTTCTGACGCCACTGTGGGCGTGGCGTCGCAACCCGCGACGTCGGTACGCGCCTAGAGTGGTCACTGCGTCAGTCTGAGCTGGGCTTCCTTTTCAAAATAATTTCCTGACTTGCCGCGGGAGCTACAGCCGTCTCCGACTTGGTCTCTAGAGGCGGCAGCGCGCGTGCGCGCTCCCGCTGAGCCCTGGACTGAGTAGCGGCGCCCAGGGCCTGCGGAGCGAGCCTGGTGAGAAGCGGCGCGGGCCGAGCTGGGAGAATCAAGGCGCGCGCGCGTGCGTGCGCACACGTGGGGTGCGTGGGCGGAGCCAGGGGCGGTGCAGCTGCTGTGTGGTCCCGACTTCCCGGAGACTGCTGGGGCGCTGCGGGAAGGCGGGCCGGGAGGCGGGCCGGGGGGCGGCAGGGCAAGAGCCTAGCGCTACTGATCTCCCTTTCTCTGCTCCCCTCCAGCGTCATCTTGGCCCTCTTCGCTTCTCTGAACCCTGCTCCTGGCCTAGGTAGGAAACATGAGCACCAACAACTTGGGTGGGAATGACGAGTTTGATGAGCAGTTGCGAATGCAAGAATTGTATGGAGACACCAAGGACGGTGACACCCCGAAAGATCCCAGCGGAGAAACGGATTCTTTCGGGCAGCAGCCGGCTGATACCCCTTATGAGTGGGATCTGGACAAGAAAGCTTGGTTCCCCAAGGTGAGAGTGGTGTGGTCGCCACTGCGGAGCGGGCCCCCAGCCAGCCTTACAGGGCACTCCTTTTACGTTTGCTTTGCTGAGGTCCTTGGTCCTAGTCCCTCGTGAATGGGATGGTGACGCGTCATTTTGTTGTGTCTGTTACAGTACTGATGTGTAGAGAAACGTAAATATTTAGGGTGGTGTCTTAAATGTCTTTTTTTCGGCCGTATTAATTTTGTCTGTGAAGGTCATAGTTGGTCATTACACTGATGACTGCTTTTTATTGCAAAGAGGAAAAACACCAGGTTTAGTAACTGTTCCTCTCAGATAGCCAGCCTTATTCAGATGTTTAGCTTATATGCTATGTGCAAAATGCAGCTTGTTGATTTTTTTACAGTAGCCATTTATTGACTGAACTTTTTCTTTGCACCTTGCTTTATTTTTCTACTAAATCCCCAGGGTATCTACGTTGGAACCATATAACCGCAGTAATATGACTAGAGATGCACAGAGGATGGATGGAAAAGATCTGTGTACATTTGTTTGAAGTACTTGAAAATTGTTAAGTGTTATATTTCAGCTTGGGAAGCAAAGTAACTAGTGTTAAACTTGGTGCCTTAAACCTTGTAGTAAAAGTACCTTGTTAATCTAACCATCATAGGGGCAGAGCATCAGTTAGAAGGATGTGAACAGCACACTAAGTGACTTGAAAGCCAGTAAAACAAAATATGTTTACGTTGTGGAAGTAAATTGTTATTTTAAAATTCTTTATTTCAATTTTTCATTCCCATTTTGCATTCATGTATATTGCAGTCCTCCAAATCTTTACAATTTACTATTTCACTTTTCTACTTGTAAAGCCAGCTTGAATTCAGAGTTGGTTTTTTCCACCTTCTGAGTACCTTTGACAATAGTCTAGTAAGTGATTAATTGATAACTTTTCTTTTATGTTTTGAAGCCTGTACCTCTTCAAATTTTGAGTTTTAAATTTCCTCATTTCTGTTACCTACTATTATTGATATAATGATGTAACTGCATTTTTGTCATTGTGCAACAGAACTTCCCCACCCCCAAGCTAGGAAGACAGATATGAACTGCACTTAACTTTAATTTGTTCTGACACTAAATGGTAATATGACTTAATTAGTTACAGAGTTAAAATGAGCATTTTGTTTGACAATTGTTAGTCCCATTCCTTTATGTACCAAATCAGAGTTCCATGTTGCGTGCTGTCTTCATATTGGCATATAAGTATTTTCTGTATAAATATATTTGTGCATTGATACAGTAAAAAAAAGTAGATTCTGTAGTTAGATTGTTAGTTGACCTTTTGGTTTTATTTTGTTTCATCATTACCAGATAATTCCTTTGTTTTATATATTTGTAGCCTTAGTCAAGTATATGGTAAGAAACTAGTAATTTATATATAAAACTACTAAAAAAGTTGCCAATATCATTTAAAATGCTTTAACCTGTCTCACACTTTGGTGTTGATAATCCAAGTACCTACCTGTGTCTTACTTTTATCATAGTATGCAGTTTTCTATATAAGGTGAATATTCTTGTATTTATACTGTAATTACTACAACTATTATCTATAGAAACACTTCTATACTGAATATACAGTAATATAGCACATTTTAAACTTCTGTGGGTAGAAATAACCTTGAATTTCTATATGTATCTGTACTGACTTTCTTATTTAGATCACCGAAGATTTCATTGCTACATATCAGGCTAATTATGGCTTCTCTAGTGATGGTGCATCTAGTTCTACTGCAAATGTCCAGGACAACAATACTAGGCCTGTAGAAGAACCACCACAAAGAAAAACCCCTGAACCCACTGATCCTAGAAAGAAGGGAGAAAAAAGAAAGGCTGAAGCAGGCAAGTGGTTCTAGTTTATAAAGCATGGGTGTAAAAAATTAAAAATGAGTATGAACATATAGTTGCATTTTAGAGAATTATAATAGGATTGAAGAAATAATAAGGTGAGATTTTATTAATCAAAGTAATATCAGTCATAAAGAATCATAATTTTTTAGATGGGGCTCTATAATTATCCATAAAAAGGTTCAAATATTTTTAAAACTGAGTAGTAATATGAAATGTTTGTCTTAGTCTTCTTAAGGGTAAGAGAAAATTCCTGAAAGTTTCAAGAAACTGCCACACTGTCAAGATTTCCTAATGTGACTCTTATCTTTTCTTAATAAGTATTTATTTATTTCATTTTGATTTTTAGGATGGTTTCATGTTGAAGAAGATAGAAATACAAACGTGTATGTGTCTGGTATGTATACCTTTTTAAACAAACTTAGGGTTGGAAATATCTGATGTTGATATTTTTCCCAAAGTGATTTTTTATTTTCAGTTTCTCTAAAGTGCATTTTTTATCCTGTCATTTTTTGTTCAGCTGTTTCATTAGTGAGAAATTTGTTTATTACAGAACTAAGAAAAATTAAGTATGTGCAAATTTCATCTGATTTAGGTAACTTATGGCACTTTGCCCCTTCAGATTCAGTGAGTCCTGAGCAAAGCATAATTTTACTGTGTATTTGAATACATAAAATTGTGACTATTCCTCAGTTCTACAGATAAGGTATTTTTGCATTGATTTAGAAAGTCAGCTTTGCACTCATCTAAGTTGTAAATTTCTAATTGGTAGCATGCTAAGTAATTCTCACCCTTATAAATATTTAAAATTTTCTTCTGAAATTACAGGTTTGCCTCCAGATATTACAGTGGATGAATTTATACAGCTTATGTCCAAATTTGGCATTATTATGAGAGATCCTCAGACAGAAGAATTTAAGGTCAAACTTTACAAAGATAATCAAGGAAATCTGAAAGGAGATGGGCTTTGCTGTTATTTGAAGGTCAGTTATATGGCCAATAAACTTCTTGTGTTTCCATTTTTAACTCTGGAGCCAGGGCTATAATCTTTTATAGATGATAACTGAGAACTGTTCAAAACAAGATATGAAGGAAACTGAAATTTCAGTTTTACACATAGAGTACCTGTGTGTATCACTTGCCTTTGTTATCTGGTCAAAATATTATATGAGACTAAAGTGCCTCTTTTGTCTTAAAATTCTCAATGTAAAGATCTCTTTATTAGTGCATGTCTTCAATGAAGAAAACATTTTTACATACAGGAAGAAAAAAAGCCATTGACATTTGCTCAGTGGAATGAATTAGACAAGGGTTTAGCAAAGTCCAGCCTGCAACCTTTTTAAAAATAAAGTTTTGTTTTGTTCATTTTATTTTATTTTTTATTAGCATATTATTATTGTACTGGGGGTACATTGTGACATTTGCAAAAGTGCTTACGATATATCGTAGTTAAATTCAACCCCTCCATCATTCTCCTTTATCTCCTCTTCCCCCAATTCCTGGAATAGTTCCAACAGGTCTCATTGTTCCATTTTGATACATGAATACATAATATTTCCATCATATTTGCCCTCCTTCAACCTTTCTTTATGTCCTCCCCCCTCCCACTGTTACCAACCCCCAGACAGGATCTGTTTTACCTTCCTTTCCTTTGTTAATTAAAGTTTTATTGGAACACAGCCATTCTCATTCACTTACATACTTGTCTATGGCTGTGTTTCACTAGTCTTTTGTGTTTCATCAGCAGAGTTGATTGGTTGCATCATAGACCTCGGGGCCCTCAAACTTAAACTGTTTACTAACTGCCTGATTATAAAAGGATTTTCTGACCTCTGAATTAGACCATGAAGGAGATGATAGCATATGTTTGCTGCTTTAAATGGGAAAGAAGAGAATGGTATTAGAAATTTGCAGAACTTTGTGTAAACTTGGTGTCATGAATTGTACAGGGAAAGCTCAGTGCCAAAGGCAGCCATCATTCCTGTAACACTTGTCACCTTAAGTATGTATTACTGCCAGGTGTAAAAGAAGTGGGCATGATGATGACATGTAAATTTGTCATAGAACCTGAAAATAATTCCAAAGTGAAGTCAAAATGATAAAATAATGGTACAAACAACACAGGTAAGTTTTGAATGTACAATATGCTAGAGGGATCAGAAGAGGGTAGAATTGGGCTGACAGGTTTTTGTATGGTAGGCTTTTTTTTTAGACTGAACTTGGCATTATTTAATTAAATGACTTATTTATTGGAATTTATCTTTTCTGAACAAATCAAACAACTTATTTGAAAGATAACATGAAATTTTGACAAAGTAAGTAAAAATTCCACTTTTATAATCATTAAAATGTATTGTGATGGGTACTGGATTAGCTCATCGCACTTTAATAATGCTGTGTGAGGCACTGTCATTACCACCACTTTACAAATGAAGATGCTGAGGCCCAAGAAAGGTCTGAGCACTTTGCCCAAGGACACCTAGTGTGTGAGCGAAGTATCCAGGTTGTGTGACCAGTGAGCCTAAAGCTCAGGATCCTCCCGTCCTACATCCACCATCATCCTCCACAGCCATGACCTCTATGATTCCACTGAGGATTCTGCTGCATGTTGCAGAATCAACATGCTTCAAGCAAAATTGACTTTCTTTTCAACCAGTTATCTGCTTGTAGTCTTGACTTGTCTATTTCTGTCATCATCACCAACCATGCTGTTTGTCATCATTTAAATTTGAAACTTTTATCTAGGTGATAGGTTTTTGACCTGGTTCTTACACATGATGAAGATAGGACATGAGCATGAGAACATGACCATTCTAGGAAGATACTTTTGTAATCTTTAAATGTAAGATTTGAGAGTTTTGCAAGTTCCAAGAACTCCTGAAAATATGAGAAGTGATTCTTAGGATGTTTGATTGGATTTTGAAATATTTTAAATTAAAAAACGGGGTTTTATGAAACCTGTATGTGTAATTCAGGGCCCATGAAAAGTGCAAGGTTGTCAGACTAGTAAATTAAGGTCCAGAAAAATATAATTAATTGTTCCAAGATCCACATACGATGTGAGCAGCTGAATTCAGTTGTCTTTTTATGTTTCCTCAGAGCCTCAGATCTTTCACTGTGTGGGGCTGATAACTACCCTGTTTGTGTAGGAACCCAAATCTAGAAATGTATTTAATGTTAGCCATCAGATAATTATCTTCTACTTATCAATGCATTACAGGCCCGCATATTAGTTGATGAAGCAAAAAGTTAAATGTCTATTTTTCTCCAGTTCCTTCAGTCATCCAATCTTTTAAGAGGGAGTTTTTACAAATTTTTAGAATTGGAGTGCACCTTAGAAATCATGCAAGTCTGCTTGCCTCATTCTGCAGATAAGAAATTGAGGCTCCAAGAGGCAAAATTACCCAGAAATACAATTTATTGACTATTTATGATATGCTGGTTCCTGTCCTTTCATTTAGTTTTGTCAGGAGCTCTGTGATAAAGGCATTGCTATTCCATTTTACAGGTAAAGAAATTGGGGCTCAGAGAGCTTGAGCAACATGCCCAAATTCACATGCTGGTTAAGTAAAGCTATGTTTCCAATGCAAATTTCCCGATTTATGTTCTAGAGTTTTTATAATCTCAAAGTAGGTAGTTACTATTCACCTAAAAAACTCCTTAACTTTCATCTTAGTGTGTAACTTACTGTATTTTATTTTATCTTCATAAAGCGAGAATCTGTGGAGCTTGCATTGAAGCTTTTGGATGAAGATGAAATTAGAGGCTACAAGTTACATGTCGAGGTGGCAAAGTTTCAACTGAAGGGGGAATATGATGCCTCAAAGAAGAAGAAGAAGTGCAAAGATTATAAGAAGAAGCTGTCTCTGCAACAAAAGTGTGTATTTTTTTCCTTTTTCAAAGTTTCATATGAATAAAGTATATTTTTGGTAATAGCCACTTAGTTTTATTCCATCAAATGTCTACAGATTATTATTCTAAAAGAATTTCATTAGCTCATCGGTGTGTGTGGGGGGGTCTTCAGTAGTCTATATGATGGACTGATTCGGCAGTAGTGGTGGTTTTCTTTTCCTGAGGTGGTTATTTGTAATATAAGAGAGAGATTAAGCTAAGGGAAGCCATGTGTTTGGGAAATGTTAACATCTAATTAAGTTTGATAGTTTAGGTTTACATAACAAAGTTCATGTTCAATGTAGATTGAAATCAGCTATACCAAAAGCTAAGTTTTTATATACAGATTTGTTAGTACAAATTAGAAATGATGTGTTTTATCATTGCATTTATGTCTTAGTGTAGTTGTAAATAGTATATATGTAATATCATGTTTCTGTTAATGTTTGTTGTTAAACAGACATTTTGAAACACGGTGGTTTTAAGAAATCAGTCAAAATGATAAATACTTTCATCAAGTGAATTCTGTTACATGTCTAACATTGTGCTTTGGTTGTGCTGTCTCATAATTTTTATAAGATTAGTAAAAAATAGATGTGAACAAATTTTATAAACAATTTAAAATTGTAACAAAAAGTGAGTGGTTTTATATTTCAGTGCAGTTTGTTCTTTGTAATAAGATTCCAGAAAACTAATACAATTTAAAAATTTTTTGAATTCAGAAGTACAATCAGCCTTTCATATCCATAGGTTCTGCATCTGCACACTCAGCCTACCATGGACTGAAAATACTTGGGAAAAATTGCATCTGTACTGAATGTGTACAAACTTTTTTATTGTCATTATTACATAAATAATGCTGTATGACAGCTACTTAAGTAGCATTTACATCGTATAAGGTATTACAAGTGATCTAGAGTTGATGTCAAATACTTGGGAGGATATATGTAGGTTATATGCAAATATTATACTGTTTTCTGTAAAGGACTTGACCGTCCTAGGATTTTAGTATTCAAGGTGAGTCCTGGAACCAATCCTCTGCAGGTGACAAGGGGCAACTATATCTTCCTAGACAGCCAAGTATTTAGCTAAAATACTAAATAATTAGCAATTTTAGAAGCCTCATTGGAATGTTTACATAATGAGACAAGAGCTGCTTTAAGAAAATGTATGCTGAGGATTTCAGAAAATGAATTTATTTTTCCCCTGCAAATATTTCTATTTCAGAATGGAACTGTGACTAAAATGCATGTTATTGTTTTGGAGTATTTTTGAGTATTAAATACTCAACGAAGGATTATATTAACCACTCATTTTCTCCAACAAATCTAACCAAAATTCAGTTTATTGTTACTATTTTATTGCATTAGGCAGTTGGATTGGAGACCTGAGAGAAGAGCCGGACCATCCAGGATGCGCCATGAACGAGTTGTCATCATCAAAAATATGTTTCATCCTATGGATTTTGAGGTAGGAAATGGTATTTTAACAAGTACACTTTCTTTCAAGAGAGCTCAAAGCTTATTTTGCCCCATCTTTAACATGCTACATCCCGTAAGGCAGAAAAATAGAGCCAAGAATCTAATTTTTTTGGATCTCCCTTTGTTTAGCCCAATGCTCTTTTAATTGCATCCCAGGTAAGACTGTTTAGTACTCATACTGTGGCCCCCAAACAACAGCTGCTTGGTATGGAAAGTCATTAAAAAACTGATGGGAACAGCTTGTGGAGTTTGAGAGCAGTTCAATAAATCTGGGCTGATTTTGGTGGAGAGTACAGTTTTACCCTTGCAAATGTAAACTTCACTTTGCCACTAGAAGTTTGATCCTTAAAAAACCTTAGTTTAGTTCAGTACCTGGTTGTGGGGGTTATTTTTTAGGCCCTCACTTTTACAAAACTCTTTTGTGACTCTTAGGAGGAGGTTATAATACTTAATGTGTATGTAAGATTCCAAGAGCAGCAAATTAAAGTGAATGAATGGAGAAAAGTTAGCTACTAAGGAGGTGTAAGAGAAATTAATTGTTGTCAAGGGTCCAAGTGCTTTATCGTGTCTCCGTTTTTTTCTTTTCTTTATTTTTTGGTGATTTTTATTTTTTGGTGATACTAGTGTTTAAACTCAGGGCTTTTGCATTTGTTGGACAGGCTGTCTACACTTGAGCCACGCCCCCAGCCCTTTTTGCTTTTAGTTTATTTTTCAGGTTGGGTTTCACTTCTCCCTGAGGCTAGCTTCAGACCTTGATCCTCCTACCTAAGTGTTCTATACAGCTGGGATTACAGCTGTTCACCACCACCCACACCTAGCTTTTTGTTGAGGTGGGGGCTCAGTAACATTTTGCCTGGGCTGTCCTTGAGCCACTGTCTTCCTGATCTCCGTCTCCTGAGTAGCTGAGATTCCAGGCATGAGCCACTGTGCCCAGCCCTGTGCCTCTATTCTTATCTCTTTTTGCTGTTGTAGATTGATATTATCATTAGTGGGAAAACAACTCTTCTCTGCTTGGTTCTGGAATTAATAATAGCAAGTTACACATGAGAAGAGATGTTCGTAATGTAAAATCCCAGGTTCATAAATGTTCTTGTTGCAACTAATACCCATTCTTGTGTATATGGTTTGTTAAGTATCACAATGACAGTATCATTTTAGTCCCCTTATAAGAGGCCCCAAAATGGGCAGTGGAACTCCATCACTGTGGCTAGTGATATGATAGGGTGTACTGTGTACCTGTGGAGTCTGGACATCTTTTGACATTATTAGATAGTTCTGTGACCTCTTTATAAAGTTGCTTAATGTCTCTTCTGACCAGAAATCCACAAGAATCTTTAAATATAATAGCTGCTTTAGATTTGTAGTAATACTAAAGTATGATTAAAAGATACAAATGTACACAGTATACAGTCTCTGACTTAGACGGTATGACTTAAAAATTTTCAACTTTATGTAAAAGTGGTGTGAAAGCAATGCACATCTAGCAGGAGCTGTGTTTTGGATTTTGATCTTTCCCTAGGCTGCCAAGCAGTGGCAGGAGTTGGAGCTCCCAGCCATCCATGCAAGCATGGGGGCAAACAACCTACTGTTCAATGTATTGTACAGTATCCAGTAAGCTATCTGAGATACTCAGCGCTTTGTTGTAAAATAGACTTGGTGTTGGATCATATTGCCCAACCATAAGCTAGTATAAGCATCCTGAGTATGTTAAAGCTAATACATTTTCTACTTAATCTATTTTCAATTTATCTTGGGTTTATTGGGACATAACCCCATTGTAAGTTGAGCATCTGTAGTTGCTTTTGGAAATGCTGTCCTTATTGCATGGGACTTTAAAAGGAATGCATAGATAAATCACAGTATCTAGTCTACTAGGCACACCCCAGAGTTTCCTGTGATTCGTCACATTTTATCCATGGTTTGTTTATTAGATGACCTATTTACTTCTATGATTTGAAGTTCTTGACTTACATATTTCATATTCCTGATGCTCAAACCTGCGTGTAAGTGCAAAGTTAGTTCAAAGTATCTGAGCCTTCTGCTAGTAGAAGTCTCTGATTGTATCTCTTCTTGTTTCTGCCTCCTGCCCTACTCATGGAGATACCTTATTTGAATGTAACTGTCACCCTGGGCAGACTTAGCTTTCAATAGTTTAACAAATATTATTTGCCCCCAAAAGTTACATTTATTCCACATTGTCCTTCGCAATTTTTTTCGAATGGATATTTTTTTAAATAAAATTTTCATGCTTAATAAATTCCTGATTGTTTAAAAACAAATTACTCTTGGTTTAGTGTAAACTTTACTTTGGAGTTACAGAGCCTTTATATAACTGTTTGTTTCCTTCATAGCATTTATTATTATTTGAAATAATTTTATCTCCTTTGCTGGAATGTGAGCTACAGTTAGAGCCAGCACTTTGTCTACTTTGTTTGCTATTGTATCCCAGTGTATAGAATTGTGCCTGGCACACAGAAGACCCTCGATATATATTTGTTAATATACCAGCAGTATTTTATGGTGTTAGGGCCTTGTGCATGCTAAGCATATGCTCTCCCACTGAGCTACACTTCCAGACCCAGCCTTTACTATTTACGAATGATAGGATGGAATCCATGTTACTTCCAAGCAAAAGCTCTTTTCATTCACTCAGTGGATAAAACATTTTGGCTTTAGCATCTTTGTAAATAAAGGCAAGTTTTCTTCTCAGAATTTATGCCTCAAAGGGTGGCAGGATACTTTGTTCTGGCAGTGGTGGGCTTCAGAGTTCACAAGGAGAGAAATCTATGTTGGTGTGCACTGTCGTTGTCTGCACATCCCGCCTGGTTTCAAGTGGTCTGTGTAAAGCAAATTGGCCTCTTTCTTCTCCAAAATTAGGTTAGAGAAGTGGGGAAGTCTAGTCTGCCAGGTGTGGTTTTTTGAGCCTTTTATTTGTGCAAATGAGTAGGATTTTACCATTTTTATTTTAAGTCTAATTGTACTAATTACCTGCCATTTGTTTATTTTGGCTTTTTGAAAGAACTTTAGGGGAAGAAAAGCCACTTTTTTGGTAGTTCATTGTAATTCCTCTTTAGTTGGTGAGAAAAAGAAAAACTTGTAAGAAATGTTAAATGTTTCCTAGAAAATAAAAGTTGAATTTCTACTTCAGTAGAAATTCATAGCTAGGAATCTTCATTTAAATATGTTTAGAGTTAAAATTCAAGTTGATACTATAACTTTTTCTGAGCCTTTTTTTATGCTCTGAAAGTCAGAGAAAGATTTGTTCATTTCCACTGGGAATCGTCAGTCCTTTTGTTTTTTTGGGGAGGAAAATCCACTGAACTCAAGACCACCAGAAACAGCAGTATTTGAATTTCTTAATATACTCACAGTGTTTTAAAAAAGTAACAGCAAGAATGTATATCATTGTGTGCTTAATACATCATGTAGTATGTTATACTGTGCCACCAGATAAGAAACAGGAATCCTTATAAAGTTTATCCTGTGAATTAAAATAGAATCTTTTTTGGCAGTACTGGGTTTTGAACTCAGGGCCTCGTGCTTGCTAGACCAGTGCTCTACCACTTGAGTCATACACCTGTACTTTTTCTTCTTAAAATTATTTTTCAGATAGGGTCTCTTGCTTTTTGCCTCACCAGGGCCTTGGACCATGGTCTTCCTGATCTCTGCTTCTTGAGTAACTGGGATTACAGGTTTGGGCCACCTCACCTGGCTAAAATAGAATCTCAAAAGCTCAAAATACAATCTTAAGCCTGGTGCCAGTAGCTTATGCCTATAACCCTAGCTACTTGTGAGACTGAGATCAGGAGAATCACAGTTATAGGCCAGCTTGGACAAGAAAGTTCACAAGACCCCATCTCAATGGAAAAAAGCTGGGCATGGTGGTGTGTGCCTGTCGTTCCAGAAACTGCAAAAAGCATAAAATAGGATTGTGGTCCAGGCTAGCCTGGACAGAAAGTAAGACCCTAGACACTATCTCCAAAATTTCCAGCAAAAAAAAAAAAAAGGCTGGAGGCATGACTTAAACGGTGGAGTGCCTGCCTACCAAGGACAAAACCTTGAGTTCAGAGCCCAGTAATGCCAAAAAACCTTAGATTAAGTCAATGAAAGGGATATCTCTCTATTAAAACATTTCCATAACTACAAATCTAAAACACAGAGCAAAGGGCTTCATCAGTATGATTATGATGCCTGTGCAGAACAGGAGTTAGCAGGCTCTTACTCAGTATGTGCCACAGGACTTCTGTTCTCACAGCTGCTGTTAATTTGACACAATTCCCACTTTCCTTCCTTTTCCTTTGTCACTGTAGACATCTGCTTTATACCATAATTGTCCATTTCCTCTGTCTTAAAGTAAAGGCAAACTTAACCACTTATTTTTTATTTTTTTCTTACAGATTGCACACAAACATAACCAACCTTAAACAAAACCTTTTTCATTTGTTGGTTTGTCAAGCAAGAAATTTGAATTCACAGGAATTATAGAAAGGGGCAAACCTATTCTAATCATGCTTATTTTTACAGGATGATCCATTGGTGCTGAATGAGATCAGAGAAGACCTTCGAGTGGAGTGTTCAAAGTTTGGACAAATTAGGAAGCTCCTTCTCTTTGATGTAAGTTCATGGCCTACACAAATGAATCCTAAAGCAGTCATTCTTCTAGCTTAATAAAGATTATCAGACATTAAAATGCCCCTGGATTGTACATTACTGTTTTTTATACAGTAGGTCTGTTATCTAGTGGTAGTCATGTGTCCATAATAGTTAGATGAACATGATTTACAAGTCAAAGCTTTGATAGATTTGATATGCCTGTCTCATTTCCCTTTATCATCACTTCAAGAGTGTTTGATTAGGTAAATGAAAGTACAAGAAAAATGTATAGTTTCTTATTTATCCACGTTTTTCATTCTCTGTGAATTATTTACCTCTGTATTTGGAACAATAGAAATATATCTTCTTGTGTATTTCTTCTTCTTGCCCTTCTATTACCAACACTGATACACAATAATTAAAAATTACCATTTATTGCTGGTGTGTTACAAACTGCTTTGTATGTTATCTCATGTAATCCTCATAAACCTTTTATATAGGAAGGAACTATTCTACCCACTTTACAGATGAGGAAGCTGAAGTTTGAAGATGGGGCATCTTCCAACAGTTACACTGTCTTCCCTCTTGTTTAATGGTGTTGTCAGCAAAAATGTTTCCAAGAACATTGTGCTTGGTTCTTGCTAGATAAGATGAGGCTAACGCAGCAGCTGACTGCATGTCTTTGACTGGGATAAAATAGAAGACAGACTTCATAAAGTCTTTAGCTCAAAGGATCAACTTGCCTACTTTATCAAATGTGTTTTGTTTTTAATCTTACCATTATTCCTTCTTGTTCTTTCTTATCTTTCCAGAGGCATCCAGATGGTGTGGCCTCTGTGTCTTTTAGGGATCCAGAGGAAGCTGATTATTGTATTCAAACCCTTGATGGGAGGTGGTTTGGTGGCCGTCAAATCACTGCCCAAGCATGGGATGGGACTACAGATTATCAGGTAAATTCTGCAACTGTGAAGGGATAGGAATTGTTTCAGTCTCAACAAATACTGATCTATCTGTCCTTCACCTTGAAGTTGGGGGTTTGGTTTAATCGGTTTTGTGTAACAACAGTTCTTTTAAATAATACTTTGCATTCAGAAGATAGAAAAAACATTTCAGTGTTTCAGTTTCTAAGTCTGAAACACTGAGACTTGCTCAGAATAGTAATAAGAAAAGGACACATGAAACTAAAATGTTTCTCTTCCTGTCTTCTGTAATATTATGCTGTTTGCATTTATTTAAATGATCTTATTTAAGGTCAACAAATTAAGATGCAGAGTTCTAAAACTGAGGACAGGGAATTGCTTAAATTTCCTTAAAAGTATTGTCTTACAAACTCAAGGTGCTTTCATCAATATTAGAAATGCTCAGAGAAGTTGATACTTCCTTTGTGTAAAACTCATTATAATGGCAATTTCTACTATCCACAGGTAGAAGAGACCTCAAGAGAAAGGGAGGAAAGGCTGAGAGGATGGGAGGCATTCCTCAATGCTCCTGAGGCAAACAGAGGCCTTCAGCGTTCAGATTCTGTCTGTGCTCCAGAAAGAGCAGGGCCTTCTAGAATGAGGCATTTTTCAGCACACCCGAGCACATCCAAAATGAATGCTCAAGAAGCTGCAGCTGGAATGGCATTTGAAGACCCTATAGATGAGAACAAGTTTGAAAAAACAGAAGATGGGGGAGAATTTGAAGAAGATGCTTCGGGAAAAGATGCTAAAGAAGGTGGGTCTGAAAAAGAGGTGAAAGAAGGCTTCTCCAAAAAAGAATCTGAAGAGGGCTTCCTTGAGAGAGATTCTGAAGGTGGTGGCCCCAAAAAAGAGTGTGAAGAGGGTAATGCTAAAAAGGAGGTGAAAGAGAATGGCTCAGAAAGTGGGTTTAAGAAGAGAATCAGAAATGAGTATGAAGAGAATAGCCTAGCAAAAGAGTCTCAAGATGCTGACCCTGACAAGGAGTCTGAAGAGGACAGCCCCAAGAAGGAGTTGGAGGAGGACAACTCAGAGAGAGAAACTGACGAAGACTGCTCTGAAAAGCAGTCTGAAGAAGGCTCTGAAAAAGAATTTGAAGAAAACGGTCTTGATAAAGATTTCGATGAAGATGGCTCTGACAAGGAGTTTCCTGAAAACCTTCTTGACAAAGAGTTAGAAGAAAATGACACTGACAAATCTGAACTTGATGAAGGCTCTGAAAGGGTGTTGGATGAGGAAGGCTCTGAGAGAGAGTTTGCTGAAGATTCAGATGAAAAGGAGGAAGAGGAAGGTACGTGTGAAAAGGTTTTTGACGATGAGTCTGATGAGAAAGAGGATGAAGATGATGCAGATGAGAAAGGGTGTGAAGATGCTGATGAAAAAGAGGAAGAAGATGATGCAGATGAAAAGCTGTTTGAAGACTCAGATGAAAAGGAAGATGAAGAAGATGCAGATCTAAAGGAAGATGAAGATGTGGATGAAAAGTTGTTCAAGGATAACAATTCCAATGACGAGGAGGAGGGTTCCAATGAGAAATTGTTTGATGATTCTGATGAGAGGGGGACTGTGGGGAATGTGAAGGAAGATGGGCCTCAGTCCACAGGCAGCAGCTTTGTCCTCAGTAGTGATGACGACGATGATGATATTTAACCCCTTACACTTGCTTTTTAGGGAGAGTCCTCCATCTCCACTTGCCTGTGCTCCGGGGTCATTATTAGTAGTGTTACACAAACGTGTGCATAGTGGTAGGTTGCATAATGCATTAACCGTTGGAATTTTCATTGTTACCTGTATGTTCCTAATGATTTTAAATACATGTTAACTGGCTCCTCATTTAAAATTTCCTAGTTAAAATGCAGGTAAACTGGATACTTGTCCTTTTGTCCAATTTGTTAAATGCATGCAAAAGAATATTTTTAAAAGTATTCTAATTGAAGTTTGTGATACTAAATAATAAAAATAAGTTGATAATATGCAAAAACTGAAAATTGGACTTAAGTTGCATTTTAAATTCATGGTATTTCTTTATTCATCCTAAATCCCTTAGGACCTTATTTCCAACTTGTGTTCCCAGTTCTGTCCCCCTTCTCCCATTCTAAACCAGAACTCATAAAGGAAATAACAACTTGGATTTTTTTTCCAGGCTCAGTACTTGCAAATTACCTATTGTTTTCTTTTCTAGTCAGTTTTCTTTCATTAAAATTGACTCGTGCAAAACTGAATTTCCTGTGGTCTACAGCTTCAATTATTAAAAATAATTCTACCATGTACTGTTTCTTAGCCTCTCTGGGCTCCTTTAATTGAAGTGATGAGTCCACTCCCAGAAAAATGTATTTTGCACACGCACTGCACAACTTCTTGTGTACCTTTTGGAAAGGCTCATGGATCCCCTGAAGACAAGAATTTTATCATGCATACTTAAGTTTTTTGTTTTAGAATCAGTTCCTGGCATTGTGCTAAGTTGTGTAGTTCCAATACAATTGTGAGTCCTTCTTGATTGTGCTTTCCAAATTCAGTATTGGTGAATATACTGATGGTGTAGCATTAAGTTATAATTTAGAAGCATTAAAGTAAATTGCCATGGCACTCTTTCATTAAAGCTTCTGTAAGTGGAATCATTGCCCTCTTTAGACAGAGAAGAGTTCCTGTACTTCAAGCTCATTTCTGCTCTGAGAATTTTTTAGTTGATGTCTGGGATTTCTTGAAATCTTGCAAGTGTTTTTTTTTTTTTTTTAGCAGTACTGGGGTTTCAACTCAGGGCTTTGCATTTGCTAGGCATGCTCTCTATCACTTGAGCTACACCTCCAGCCCTTTCTGCTCTGGTTATTTTTGAGATAGGAGCTTGCAGTTGTTTGTTCAGGCTAGCCTGGACTGTGATCTTCCTATTTTAGGCTTCCCATCATAGCTGGGATGACAGGCGCATGCCATCATGCCCAGCTATTGGATGAGATGGAGTCTCAAGAACTTTTTGCCCAAGCTGGCCTCAAGCTCTAATACTTCAAATCTTAGCCTCCTGAGTGGGACTTGCAGGAATGAGCCACTCGTGCCCAGATTTTTACCAGGGATGAATCAGTAAAGGTGAATAAAGTTACAACAATAAAGATTGCAAACCAAAATAGTGTCCTTCAAATATAAGCCAGAACCACTTAAACATTGATTTACTAGATAGTTGCTTTTCTAAATGAAAGAAAAAATGATTTGCCTTCTGAACATAGTGGTTGGGTCATACAACTCTACAACATAACTTAGCTCTGCAATCATGAGAAGAGAGCCATTTCATTTTTTACATTAAAATGTGTAATTTTGGTAGCCCAAAATTTGTCAAAAGAAAGCAAAATACATCTAGTCTGTTGTTTCAGATACTGGCCGTTGCTTGTAAAGACTCCTTACCATCACTTTGGGATGTAAAAGCCATTAAGAAAGTAATAAGTTAATTCACTGGTCACCATTGTCTAAAGAAAACATCACTTAACATCTCCTTTGTGAACGTGTGTGTGTGTGTGTGTGTGTGTGTGTGTGTGTGTGTAAGAGAGATTTCAGTTATGTCCCCATAGTCTGACCTCTTCCCTTGCTCTTTAATTTAGTTGGTACCAAAACCTTATACTCTTCACATAAACACACTGGAAGTGAAAGTCACAAGCATCTGTAAAATAGTAAATGACTTGTGAGGTGTTATAAACAAATTAACAAAGTAATGAAGTACACGTACAGCCACCTGTTTGCTAAGTAATCCAGTTTTATTGGTCCTAAAATAGTTTATTAAGGTAACAGTACATTCTATTGTCAAAAAAAAAGGAAAATATGGGGGTGGATTCTAAGCACCCAATGCTCAACAATTATCTGACAGAATTTCTAAATATAATGCTCCTTGTGATTAATTTACACCTAATAACTCTCACTGGTCTACATTCAGCCCTAATTGTGTGAACCAGATGTGGCTTCAGGCATGCCTTTGCATGGTTGGAATGGCCTGCTCTCTGAGAATCACAAGTACTTCGAACAAGAACAAACTTTTTCATAGTACAAGATAAAAATATACTGGCCATTAGCAATTGCAATGAAATATTGAAATCATTGCTTCCTACAAAAGAAACCTGATAAAGCAAAACTGGAGTAATTTATTTTAAGTATCTTTTCTTTCCCTTCCTTCTCAACCAGTAACAAATCGGGCTCTTTCTGGAGCCCTGAAGAGCCAAATCATTTGAAAGCTGCAACCTCTTCCTTTTCAGACTGCCACCTGTTTTCTTGGTGTAGATTATTTGGTCATTTCTAAGGCTTGGAGAGAGAAGGTAAGAATTAGCTAATATTCTGATCATGCCTTTCTCAATGTGAATCTTTCAAAAAGTAAATCAAACATTTCAGAGTTCTTAATTAGTCTGAACAAAGCCATGGCTTGGAGAACAGTAGGCTTATAGATTTACCCTTGTGATATTTGTCAATATTATGAATTTCTCAAATCTTTCTCATAAAAACTGCATATTTTTAAAAAATGAATGTCATTTAGGATCAGTTTGCTCAAATTCTTTTTTGCCTCTTACCACACCTCATTTACATAACTGACTTTGTTTATTAAATGCTTCCTTGATACAAGAAAAAATACTAAGATTACTCTCTAAAAATCACAAATTGGTTTTGCAAATAGCTTAAGTCCTGAACATGTCCCACTATCCCAGGCAATGACACGACAGCTTGAGAAAAACATTTCATCTTGTAAAGTCGCCTTTAGGTGTTTGGACTCTTCCAGGTTAGCTTTGCTTTCCATTTGAAACCAAGATGATCTGAGGTTATGGCATGCCAAGTGTATCACCCTCAACTGGAAGGCATAAACAGGTGGGCTGGGTTCATGCTCTGTTTATCTGTAGAACTTACAGGCTGTGATACTCAGGTGCGCTGGTCATGTCAGCCCAGGTAAAGAAAGTTAGTACGCAGCGATCGCTGTTCTAACATTCCACTGTTAGCACCACCCCACAGTGTTCATGCTGAAGTTGTAATGATAGTATTAGAAGAGTCAGGATATAAGAATAAAAGCCCTTTGGTTTCCCATTTTCCAAGTTTATCCTAGAAATTAGATTTAAATAATAATAAACCTGCAACATCTTAATGTGAAAATGCCAGACTCAACTATCTATCTCATTTTCAAGCTTGAAAACGTGATTATTATCTTGACTGCATTTTTTTCTTGCTCCCTAACGTATTTCATACTGCCTTTTAAATAACATAATCTTTGATTTTTAGGTGATTCTAAAGAAATTATAGATTAGATTAACAAAAATTTATACAGTCCTTCAATGCTATCACCTCATACTGGAGGCTACATGGATTATCATATTGAAACAGTAATATGATGTTAAGTGATTGATTTAGCATATTTGCACTCACTGCAACATCTGTTCAATAGCATTTGATTCAGTCAATTAGCAAGTATGTATTGGGCAAGTGTGTGCCCAATAAGGTGGGGCAGAGAAATAAAGGTGGCATTAGGCATGGACCCTTCTCAAATGGCAGGTGTGATGTCTGCACGGAGACAAGACAGCCAAAAAATGTGGCATGGATTCAGCAATAGCACATAGAGGCTAGAACAGTGCCGGGCACACTGTAAGAACTCAATAAATTTTTGTTAATTGAATTAATTTACTCTCTGGATACACTTGTAAAGTCCCACTTGTTCACTTGAAGTGGTTCATTGACTTCACCACTACCTTGTCATCATTCTTGGTGATTTCAGTATCAAAGTAAATAATCATGTCTTTCCTTCATTCTTAGCACCCCAACTGTCAAACCAAAGATTCAGGCATCATCCTTGATTTCTCTCTTCTTCACCCTACACATCCAATTGGCCTTAACTCCAAATATATCCAGAATCTGAATCCATGACCCCATCTCCACTCCCATGATCCCCATCATCTCTTGCCTGCTTGCCTGAAAGAGCTGCCAAGTTGGACTGTCGACCTACACTCTTGTCCTCTTCTACAAAAAGTTTTACAAAACAGCTGGAACAATTTTTAAAAACTCTGCCCCAAATGCTCTGATGATTTTGTATCAAAATGCTCCAATAGCACTATCCTATTTTATCCAACACAGTAAAACCCAAACTCCTTACAATGGCCTGCCCACAAGGCTCTGAGTGATCTTATCCTTGACTGTCTTTCCAGACTCACCTTAGAACTCTCCCTTGTCTACCACTCTTCAGTCACACAGACAGACATCAGTAGTTTCACTGTACCTCTCTATAGACTGATATTCCTTACATTGGTTGGGTTTAGTTTTGCTTCTAAATTGAGCAAAGACCAACAGCTTAGTCTCTCTGGAGGTATGCCCAGATGAACAGTGTTCTTGCTGAGACGTTATAGTTGGCTTGTACTTATCTTGTTATAAATCAGAAATGTGTTTTTGTTAAATGCACATTTCTTTGTAAATATATTTGATACATTTAGAGAAACAGCATTTTTTCAAAATAGATTTCATAAAGTGGTTTATTGCTTTGTAAATCACATGTACTTTAAATTTTGATAGATTCTGCCAAATTGCCATCCAGAAATGTTGAGTGAATTTACATTTACAACAAGTATATGAGAATAGTCTGTTCCCATATTTTTGTTAATACTAGGTTTTATTGTTCTTTCAAGCTTTTGCCAATCTGTACCTCCCTAACTTCTAGTGAAGTCGAACATTGACTCAAATGTCTGTTGACTTGACATTCCTTCTTCTGATTTAGATATTCATATTCTGTGCTGAGTTTTCTACTGGCTTCTTTGCCTTTTCTCAATGATTTGTAGAAAGTCTTTTAAATATAAGACATAGCAATCACTATGAATAGGAACCACAAGTAGTTTCTCTCAGTCTGGTATTTGTCTTGTAACTTGGCTGGTAAGGCACAGAAGTTTACTCTATGTCAGTTGGCAAATCATTCCCTTTAGGATTCTTGAGCTTCATGTCTGGCTTAGAAATATACATACATTATAATATATTTACTATATATGTGCTGCTA